TTAGGAGCCCAGGCTGGGATTTAGGATCCCACGTTGGGATTTAGGAGCCCAGGCTGGGATATAGGAGCCCCCTTTGCTGCTGATATCATCCATCCCACCAGGATGCTGGTGGGAGGATTTGTTCCTGTGGACAGGGAATGGTGACCCAATTCAGGAGTTGACTGCCTAGGAGTGACTACACCTCACCACAGCCATGGATAAATCCCTTCATTTCCATCTCCTATCCCAGTCCAAAGTCAGGGCTCATCCTTCCAAGGCTCAGTGAGCTGCTCAGAGAGCACCTCGGGGTTTTTTCCTTAATTAAAGCAGCTCTAGCAACACCTAAACAGCTTCTCTGGAAAATCTCCCACGTGGGCGCCTGGATTTGAGGGATAAGATGCCCCCTGGGCCCCCCCTGCCCCCAAATGCATCCCCCGGGGCTCCTGGTGCCGTGTCCCTGCTCCCCCAGGTACTCACAGCGTTGGGGCCCCCGCAGCCCCCCAGGATGAGGATGGTTTCGTTGTCCAGGACGATCTGCAGGGCAAAGAGCAGGGTCAGGGCTCCTGCCAGGCCTCCCAGGGCACACAGAGCAGGTTCTCAGCTGCATAGGTGCTGCTGGATCCTGCCTGTCCCGGGCTGGGCTCTGGAGCGGGGATGGAGAGCCGGTTCTGCCGGGCCTGGGGCAGAGCAGGACAGAGGGTTCATCCCACGGCCTTGGCCCAAACCAGCTCCTCTCACCTTCCCAAAGCTGAGCTGAGGCACAGGGGCCTCAACACCCCTCTCCAAAGGAGTGGGAAGGTGGGAGGATTGTTTAGGAGGCAGGTGCTGGCAGCAGTGTCTATGAGTGCTGCTGGTGGGCGAGATATTCCCTCGGGCTCTTTTCCCAATGGATGAGGCACGTTGCAGCACAGCCTGTCTCTGCTGGGTGCCCCGGTGGGATAAGCCACACTGGGAATCACTGGGAAGGCAGGGATAGAGACACCTGCACCAAGCCAGGTGACACCCATGAGCTCCTGCCCCGGGCAGCAATCAAACAGGCGCTGCCAGCCCGTGCTCGGAGCAGGAACAGTCCGGAGTCACTGGATCCTGGGATCAGGAGAGCGGAGCAGCCACGAGGGCCCCGAGCCAAACCACCCTGTGCTAACTCTGCCCTGATCTGAGCCGCCCCAGGGCACAAGCCTGGGGTGAGAGCAGCAATTTGTGTCCTACAAATGTACAGCAGAGCTCTGAGTCACGCCCAGAGATCAGGAACAGGGAGGGAAAGGGAGGGCCCGGCAGGCAGGGGATCCCCGGATAACTCGGGAATGAGCCGGGCAGAGCTGCCTGGCAGCGGGAAGGGAAGCTGAGCCCGGTCTCTCTCACCTGGGACTGGCCCCCCCGTGGGTGAGGGCTGGGCCCCGAGATGCTGGGCTTGGACCAGGCCCACTGCTCCAGATCCAGCACCCACACGTCGTTGCTCCTGCAGGGACGAGACAAAGCGATGAGGCACAGCTGGGGCCTGAGAGCTCTGCCCAGGGCACAGGCTCAGGGCACACGGGGTTTTTGGCAGGCTGGAGCCTCGGGATTTGCCACAGGAGGTGTGCTAAGGCAGCAGTGAAATCCTGGGGAGAATTCCTTCTGAAACACCAGGAGCTATCCCAGGACATCCCAACACCCGCCCGGCTCATCCCAACTCACATCTGCCGAGATCCAAGAGATCCCCCAAAAACAATCATCTTGTCCTCGATGACACAGGAGGAATGTCCTGCCATGGGAGGGGGGCCGTGGGTGGTCATGATGCAATTCCACCTGGGAAAGAGGTAGGAAGATGTTCACCATTGGGAGGGAAAGGAAAACACTGGATGAACAGCAAACAAAAAATCCCAGGGGCCGGCAAAGAACATGTTCCAGAGGAAAACCACCGGGAAAACCTCTGAGTGTCCAAATAATAACGAAACTAATTAGAAATCCAATGTGCTAAACATTTTCAAGGCATGAGCCAGTCCCGTGGCCAAGGTGGGAATATCCCCCCTTCCAATTAAGTTTGCCCCGAATTCTTTCCAGGGAGTTTAATTACAGAGTTGTAACGACCAAAGTGCCCTGGATAATTGATACTTGGGAGGATGGAAAGTTCTCAGTGGGAGAGGAGCAGGAATGATCCCTTTGATACAGCCTCTGCTGCTTTCTCACACACAGGATCGGTGGCAAAGCTGGGTCTAAAATCAGCTAAATGGTGTTGAAAGGGAACAGGAAAATTCCTGCCCCTCCATGGGCACTGGATGCTCCATCCAGGAGCTGTAGAGGCAGGGATTTATAAAATGATGGAGAAACCTGCTTTCTCCCAGCTCCCTGAGGGAGCTGAGTTTTGGATCAAGACTAAAAACAAGACCTCCAGCAGTTAAAGCTTATCTCAGAACCACCTCCCTGCTCACAGTGTGATTAAACACTGAAACATTCAACTGGGAAATCTGGATGGGGATGCTCAGGGAGCCTGGAATATTTTAGGTGCAAATCAAAAGCCCTGTGACAGCAACCAGCACCCAGGAGGTGCTTGCGAGTGTCCTGTCCTTGGCTCCACTGCTGGGTTGTGGCTTTGCTTTTGATTCAGAAAGAGCTTTAGAGACACCCCTGGGACACCAGGACACCATGGGACACCTGGGACACCATGCCCAGCTTCCCAGGGGTTCCCCCAGCTGCATTCCAGGCACATTGCTCTGGGATCAAAGCCTGCCCTTACCAGTTTTTGGAGGGTGAGTAGGTGTGGATCTCATCGAAGAACCTCTCGGGCTGGTGCAGGGGGTACGGGCTGGGCCGTGTCCACCCCCCAAAAAGCACCAGCAGGTCCTTGTAGACCACCAGGGTGGCCCCAGCCTTGGGGGAGGGGTAGGAACCTGGCAGGGGTGGAGAAGGGCAGGGTTAGGAAAGCCATGTCTGAACAGCAGCCCCCGACTCCGCGGCGTTTCCTCCCGGAGCGTCGCAACACGGAGACTCCACCTCACAGAAAAATGAAAATAAAGGGGGGAAAAAAGAGGCAAAATTAGAGCTGGGAGCCTGGGAAGAAAACTCCTGCCAATTTGTGTCAGCGTAATTAGTAGGAGACTGAAAGCACATCTCAAAACATCTGTCACTCACTGGCAGGAAATTGCTGGTTTTCCACCGTATCCCTTCAAATTATTGCTTTAGCACTGAATAAAAGCAATAATTACCTCAAATACCTACTGACTGCTCTCCCTGAGGAAGGAGGGGGAAGGAATAGCAATTCCAAGGCATTGTGGCAGATATCTGGGAGCTCACGAGGGCAGCACACACTGAACCCCGTTTCTGCAGGATTAATCCCTGAACTTTGGGTGAAAATGGAGGCACTGCCTTGGTCAAGGGATGAAGTGACAGGACAAGGGAATGGCTTCCCACTGCCAGAGGGCTGGGATAGATGGGAGATTGGGAAGGAATCCTTCCCTGGGAGGGTGGGGAGGCCCTGGCACAGGTTGCCCAGAGAAGCTGTGGCTGCCCCGTCTCTGGAAGTGTCCAAGGCCAGGCTGGATGGGGCTTGGAGCAACCCGGGCTGGTGGAAGGTGTCCCTGCCCATGGCAGGGGGTGGGGTGGGATGGGCTGGGCTTTAAGGTCCCTTCCAACCCAAAGCATCCTGGGATTCTGTGATTCCAGTGGAAGGTGTCCCTGCCCACAGCTGGTGGTTGGAATGAGATGGTGTTTAAGGTCCTCCCAACCCAAACCATCTGGCATTTTATGATCCCAAACCTCTCGGAGCAGGAGCAGCTTCAGTGCCAAGAGCCCCTTGGCAAGGGCAGCTACAGAAGAATCAGATCCCTTTGAATTTAAGTCAGGAAATCAGCCCCAATCCACTGCAAAAGCCCAACCCTGCCTGTCCCAGGAGCCAGAGGTGCTGTGTCACTCCCTGGATGTGCAGGAGCTGTTGAATTGCTTCCCAGGAAAAGGCAAAGCCTCCCCAGCCCGGGTGGACTCAGAGCATCCTCCTTCCCACATTGGTCATCAGCACCAGGCACATTCCTCCACCTCCATAGTCACTCTTTCCAAATATTCCTGAACACATCATCCCAAATCCATGGCAGGGTGCCCAGCTCTGGGAACGGGGCGGCTCCAGGGCACGTGGCCACGGTGCCACCGTGCCCTCTCCCAAAAAGGCCGACGGACCCTCTGTCCCCTGCCATGTCCCACGGGACTCAGGGGCACATTTTTAGCAGGGAATGACACAGAACAGACTATTTTTAAAAGAAACCAGAGCAGCTATTTTGGGATGTTACAGTGGAGGGAAGAATTCCATGGGTTCCAGGTGGTGGGTGGGAAGAGCCTGGCAAAAAACAAGCCCTGGCCTGACATAGCGAGATGGCCACAGTGTCCCTGAACCCTTCCTGAGGGACAAAGCACTCTGCTGCTCTCAGGGACATGGATATAAGGGAAAAACGGGAATAAAGCTGTGCAGGAGACAATTCCTGTGCTGGGTCACAAAGAGAGTGTGGCCAGAGCTGTGCCAAGGTCTCTGTGAGGACCAGAGTGTCACAGAGGGTCACACTTGCTTACTCTTTGTTCCCAAATTCCAGTTTTCCTGGCTTGCTGTGTGTGCAATTCACCCACACCAGAGGGTTTCCAGCCTGAATATTTCCCTGGAAGTGCACAAAGTCGTTCTCCCAAGCTTGGCATCACGAATGGAACGGCCAGAAAGGTTTCCACCCGGTGATTCCCTTGGGGATGCCACGAGGAGCTGGGCTTAAAATGGGTGATTTTGAAACAAAAAGAGGCAGCTGGAGTAATTCCAGGATGGAGAAACACTGGCACATCACTCAGAAAGGTCTGGGATGGTGCAGTGACCTGAGAGTCACCCCGGCTGAGCAGGGACCGGCTCCTGGTGAGTCAGGCCCTGCACACAGCCCAGGGCAGGGCAGGCCCCGGTTTTTCAGGAAGCTTTGCCTGTTCTGGGCCATTGTCCGGATGTAAATGAGCCGAGTTTCGGTTCTGCAGTGCAAGAAAAGGCAGAATTTTACAAGTCAAGGAAGCGTTGGCCTCTCAAAGCCTCTTCCAGCCCCGCAACCTGGATACCCAAGGGATACCTCTGGATGCTCCCTGCAAATGAGGTGCACCAGGAGCATCTCCAGGGATCTGGCATTGGAGCAAAACACGTGGAAAATTGCAGAATTCACAGTGTTTATCCCTAAAGCAGGAGAGAGCTGCTGCCAAGGTCCTTGGGAAGGGCAGGACTCCCGAGGGAGCCGGAGCGAGGCCGGAAGGCGCCGGAAGCTTTGTGAGCTCAGGCCTCAGGTATGTGGAGAACAGGGCACGGGGACATCAAAGGGGCCCCACTGGGACATCAAAGGGGCCCCAGCAGGACCTGCTCAAAGTCCAGGCCCTTGGGAGGATGTGGGAGTGGCCTTTCCAAGGCTCCCAGGAACACCTGACACGGGAGGGCTCCTCCCGCTCCGGGACCGGGATGGGGATGGCCCAGGGAGCAGAACCTCTCTGGTTCATTGTCCCGGTTCCCACTGCTCCAGAAGGGCTCTGCTGCATTTCCAATTCCACAGGGAGCAGAACCTCGTTGGTTCATTGTTCCAGTTCCCACTGCTCCAAAAGGGCTGTTTCCAATTCTACACCCCCAGCACAGCACCCAGCCCAACATCCAGGTTATCCTTCCCTGGGGACAGAGATCCCAGCAGGCAGAGGGTGCAGCACATGAACTCCCTCCATCTCCCCACGGCTCCCGCTGCTCTTTCAGCCACTTAAGAGCTGCTCCAATCAACTTCTCCCCCAGCTGATGGATTTTCCTGGCTCACAAAGCCAAGGAAACCCAACCAACAAGGGACCTCCGGCTCCCACGGATGTTTGGAAGAGCAATGACAGGCTCTGGTGGCTCCCCACATGAGCTCGAGGTGTTTTATCTGGGCAGGATCTGCCCTTCTCAGCAGTTCCCAAAGCCCATTGATCCGGCCCTGTAATCCTGTCGGAGCAGCACGCGCCGGGATTAACGGACACAAAGGGAGAGCCCGGCTGGGAGGGCACGTGGAGCACGGATTTCCAGACCAGCCTTTCACCTCTGGTGGGTGCAGCCCTGGGAGACTCCACAAACAAGCACCAAGAGGAGCTTGAAATACAAAGGGCAATGAAATGGGTGATGGGATTATCCAGGGGGAAGGATTGGCTCAGATCCATGGGGTTTGGGGGATATTGCGCTGGAGCAGCACCAAGGGGGAAGGGTAAAACATGGGAAGAGTTGTGTCAGGGGGACAAATAGTGGGGAGTTTTATTTCTGGAGAGAGGTGAGACAAGAGCCATGACCAGGGGCTGGTTTTGCTGGATTTGATGGATTTTTCCAGCCACCTCAGCTCCAGCAAGAAACAACTCCAGGGGCTGATCACCACCGACTGGATTTCCATGAAATACCTGGATAAACAAAGCCATGTTTCCAATTCCAAAGCCAAGGAATTAAAGGGAGCTGGTCCAGCAGCCTACGAATTTCAAATGCAAAGGGATTTGAGGTCCCAGGTTCCAAAGCTGCCCTCGAGCTGCACCCCAAAGATCTGAGGGCAGGAATCATGGAATGGTTTGGGTCGGAGGGACCTTCAAGCTCACCCAGTCCCAACCCCTGCCACGGGTGGAACTTTCCACCACCCCGGGTTGCTCCAAGCCTGGTCCAACCCAGCCTTGGACACGTTTTCCCAAGGCAGGACAGTCCTGTCCTGTCCATGGAATTGTTCCTCTCTGGGGTTCCATCCTGTTCCCCGGGAGTTTTGTCTCTGTGCCGGGGCTGTTTTCCAGCCTGGCTTTACTAGTCCAGCTTTTAATCTGGCAGAGACTTAAAACCTCAGTTCCAAGCCGGACCCCTGATCCCTCCCCTGGCATCATCCACCCTGGCTGAGGGATTGCCTCCACCACCCCAAGGTCCATCCCAAACCTGTGTGACGAATCCCCAAATCCTTCCCTTTCAACTGGAAGCAAAACCAGAGCAGGAAAAAGGAAATCCCTCTGCTTCCCAGGCCAGCCAGGACTTTTCCACAGCCATCTGCAGATTCATCCCAAAGTTTTTCCCCTGCCAGGTTACCCAAAGGGAAGAGGACAAGCTGGTGAGCAGCAGCCCAGAGGCTGGAACATGGGATGAGCATCCCAGCAGTCCCAGCACTGGGATCGGATTTGAGAGACACCAAAGGAGAACCCCTATGGGAAGAGCAGACATCTCCATGGAATGGTGCACACCTAAGTCAAACTCCAACACTTAGGACTCACTGCTCAGCTGCCTCAGATCCCAGCACCTGACAGTCACCTGTTTTTATTCCCAAAATGTTTAAAACGTTGGGATTCTGAACATTTTCCAGACTGGCTTTGACCAGGCCTGTCTAAACCTTAAAGCCTTTAAAAGCCACCAAAGTATCCCTTTCCGTTTCCAAAGCCACAGGAGATTTACTGTTCCCTTCCCCAAAACCCCCAAATTCCATGCTGGGAATCAGGCAGGAATTCAGCCTCATATGAATTTAAAGGAAAACAGAACAAGACCCAATTTGTCTCCTCAAAAATGAGATAAACCCTTTGCAGACACAAATATCTGAGTATCTGCTGCCTGGGACACACTGCTCAGGAGGGAAGGGGGGGATATTCAGAGTTTTTTTCCCAGGTTTGGGGGGTGTGTCACCAAACCATGGCAACCCCCCATGTTTACACACAGCCAGAATTCCCGGTGGCCGATTCCCACCCTGTGGTGACACGGGAGTGTGGGACAAGCCCAGCCAAAGCGCCGGTGGGGAAGGGAAGGTTTGGTTTCCTGCAATCCCTGCGAGGTGGAGGCAAAACCCCGTGGGGGAGGAGAAGTCAGGATAAGTCACCCTGGAGCTGTTGCAACGGTGGTTGTTTTTTTAAGCCCGGAATTCGTGAG